AAAAGATTAAATTCCAAACAAAACATGACAAACTGGAGAAGAATGAAATTATTTGGAATTTTGTACTATTTGGATATGTTGATGCACGCTAAATTTGTGGTTCTTAATTGGTTATTGTGGAAAGTACTTGTTGGGTATCCAAAAGACAAAGGAAGACTAAACAAAACTCGGGGACAAGTTTATTTGAGAATATATTATGTGTTCCATGATTGGTTTCTCTTTAAAGGAAATCAACTTTGCATCCCGAAGGTTAGTTTGAGATTGAGGATCATACAAGAGTTACATAATGAAGGCCACGTTGGAAGGGACAAGACCTTTGAGCTTGTTTCTTTCTCTTATTTTTGGCCTACCATGCGCAAAGAAGTATATTGTTTTGTGGAACGATGTCAAATTTGTCAAGTTTCCAAGGGCAAGGCAACCAACACTGGATTGTACATGCCATTACCCACTCCATCACAACCATGGGTGGATATACGCATGAATTTGTTTTGGGTTTGCCTCGTACTCAGCGTGGTGTAGACTCCATTTTTGTTATGGTGGATCAATTTTCTAAAATGGCTCACTTTATTGCCTACAAGAAGACAACGAATGCTTTGAAAGTTGCTGAGTTGTTCTTTCGTGATGTATACCGAATTCATGGGTTACCAAGTTTGATTGTTTTTGATCGGGACACCAAATTTCAAAGTCATTTTTTGAGGAGCTTGTGGAAATTAGCTAATACACAATTGAATTTCAGCAATGCTTATCATCCTCAAACTGATGGGCAAATGGAAGTTGTGAATCGCTCATTGGGGGACCTTTTGCAATGCTTAGTTGGTGAGCATCTGAAGTTATGGGACCAAAAGTTACGTATTACGGAGTTTGCTTACAATCGTTCCGTCAATCACAGCACCGGAATGCGTCCTTTTTATATTGTCTTTGACTTAATTCCACGAGCACCAGTTGATCTTGCTCATGTACCAAATGCGAAAAGAAGTAGTGGTAAAGCTGAAAGTTTCATTGATAAGTCCAGCAGGTCCATAGCATGAAGCACAAGTACCTTCAAGCAACAAGTCATAAATATAAAGCTCATGCATATTCCAAAAGGCGAATGGTGGAGTCTGATGTGGGAGATTTTGTTTGGGCAGTTTTGACAAAGGATCGTTTTTCAGCTGGAGAATACAATAAGTTATATGCAAGGAAGATTGGGCCATATGAAATTCTTGAAAAGATTAATCCCAATGCTTAACGCCTGAAGTTACCTAGCCATATTCGTACTTCTGATGTGTTCAAAGTCAAACATTTCATTCCATTCAAAGAGGGCAATGTGAGTATATTGGAACTGCAAATTCGGGGTGAATTTTCTCTTACCCGGAGAAGATGATGCAGATATGATGGCTAGTTCATTTATGGATCGTTGGGATAAATTGAATGCCTAACAATACTAAGTATGACTTAATAAACTCAATAATAGTTTGGGGCCTTTTTTTGGCTGCTCATAACAGCCATAACATTTTTATGGCTAATAATAGCCTTTCTTCATGTAATTTTCAATTTCCAGTGTTATTAAGTTTAAGGCCCTTTTGAATTCTGAATGTAAGTTACAAATTAGTGATAAAACCCACTTCTTGCTGGAAGGTTGGGAAGTTGGACGTTTTGATTAATGAAAATACTCAGAGTGTTTCTCTGTTTCAATTTTGTGCCTTACTCTTTGTGAGATTGTTCTGCTTTATTCTTTTTAGTGTCTACATTGTAGGCTGGTACTAGAACCAAAGTTTATAGGGTTTTCAGGCCTCTCCTCGCACTAGGAAATAATGGACCCTACCTATCAATTATATCTGTCATTTTATTTTGTTTATATACGTTGCACCCTGCATCAGTTTGCTAGTATTGACACTTTATTAATCAAGTGAACTTAACTCAAGTACTAAGAATTAAACTTAACTAATGTTCAATTTGTTAAGTTTTAACCTTTTAAGTTTGTTTGATGTATATGCTTGTGGGATTCTGACAATTTTTACTCAGTTGACTAGTATGTTTGGCTAAAAGCCCATTGATTTGATTTACCTAAACGAGTTATAATTCAATTGGTAGTCAGCTATTTGACTTCTACTCTTTCCGAACCTATTTTGTCACTTAGTATTTCTAAAACCTCTTTAGGTGTTTTGGGAGTGCCTTTATGCACACTTTTCTCAGGCTTCCCTTGCCAATATGCCACCAATCTCCGTTTTCAACTCTTGGCACTTACAAAGGGCTCATGTTCCATCTCAAACTATTAATCAACCTGTTTCTAATACTAATTTAGTGAGTTATGTTCTCAAAGGTCTCGGTCCTGATTACTCGATGTTTTGATCATCGTAATTAATTCTCTTCCCTTTCTAGAATTCATCAACCTTCGATCTCGTTTCTTGCAATTTGAGTTCCAAACCCGCGTTGACCCTACTGTCCATGTTATGTTTGCTACCACTCCAAGTGGATTGACTCCTGTGCAGGCCTAGCCACAGCCTTTGGCCCAATTTCCACAGCCAACCGTGGCCCACAACCAATAGCCTGGCCATCCTCAGAACCTACAACACTACTACCATATCAGGTTTTCCCACTATAGCAGTAACCTGTTGCGTACCAGGCCTAAGGCCCAACATCACATCCCTTTTCCCAACCTGCATAGCAGGCCCAACGCAGAGGAAATAACAACAGGCCTCCTCCATGTCGTGGTCATTCCAACCAGCACCTTCGTGGCCACGATGGTCGTGGTGATTGACAATCAAATCAATGAGCTTTTCATCCTAATCAACAACAAGGTGTTCTAGGTGCCGCTCATAGATTTTGGTGTAATTTTATGCAACACTCCAGGTTATCATATTCTTGCTTACCCTTATCGCCCTCCACCTCTCTTTGTGGGCTATCGTGCTTTTCCATTTGGCACAACTCATGATCCTACTTGGTACTTTGATATAGGAGCCACTCACCACATGACTAATAATGAGGTTGCTTTTCAAGACATCTCTCCATATCTTGGTAACACATCTATTCTTGTTGGTAACAGGGCTTCACTTCCTATTGCTCACACCGGCTCTCTTCCCTTTCACTTGGGTTCTCATCAATTCCAATTAAATAATGTCTTACATGTTCCCTCTATTAGGAATTTTTTTTTTGTCTGTTTCTCTGCTTACTAAAAACAATTCTGTGGTTGTTAGTACTCATCATTTTAGTCAAGTTATTTCTGACTTTTATAATAGTCCTTCGTTGTTTTAGGGCCACTGTAAGGATCATCTTTATGCCGTGCCTCCGTCTCGTTAGTTTGCCTTCCAGCAGTCTCCTCCTACTTGTGGAACTCTCGTCTTGGTCTTCCATCCTTCAAAGTTTTGTCTAAATTATCTTTAGGTTCTATGGCTACTTTAAATAAAGAGTTTTGTAAGCCCTGTGCACTTTCTAAGTCACACAAACTTCGTTTTCATTCAAATAAAGTTATTGCTCTGTTTCCATTTTATTTAATTGATTCCAATGTTTGGATGTCGTCTACTCCGTCAACCTCCGGTTTTCGTTATTATATCTTATTTTCGGATGATTATAGTCGTTACTCTTGGATTTTTCCTATGTTGCCAAGCGAGCCTTATAGCGTTCGATTGAACCATCTTGGCTAATTAGTTCAAATCTTGGCTAATTACACAAGTGAGGTTCAAATTTGGATGCAAAGGAAGATGACACTGCTCTAACCATCTTAGCTAATTAGAAACCGAGTCAGATGCTCAACTGGGAGTTAATAGCATACAACACCAAACAACTAGCTATGTTAGTAGGAAATGTACATTTGCTAGTCGAGCTTGTGTTATAGAGGTTGGATTTTTCAAACCCATGATGAGTTGTCGTAAGTCTATTAAAATTGTAGTCTTAGAAGATTAAATTGTGTTTTCTCAAATGAAGTTGTTTACCCAATTGAAGTGATTTTTCCAATTGGAGTTGGTTTCTCAATTGGAGAAATATTCATAACTAGATTTCAATTAGGATTAGTAATTCTTATTGAATAAGACCTTTATTATGTCTATATAAAGGGGCTATTGACAATAACGTGTGTTCCACTCAAGGACTTAGTGTGAGAGAATATTGTAAGGGAAAAGTGTGTGCGAGAAAAAAGAGATAAGAGTGTATTTCTTGTTCTTTCGGTTTGGCTAATATCTATTTATAATGGAGGGTGTGACTAGGAAACTCACCTGGATTACCTGGAAATCAAGACTAGAGGACATGCTTTATTGTAAAGATTTTCATGACCAATGGAAGGTATTAAGAACAAGCTAGCAAGTATGTTTTATGCCATTGGATCAAGATAGATCGTAAAACCATTGATACTATTAGACAATGGGTGGATGAAAGCATCTATCATCATGTGTCTAAAGAGACTGATGTGCAAGCACTTCGAAAGAAGTTAGAATCCCTCTTTAAGAAGAAGATAGCTGCCAAGAGAGCATTCCTTATCAAAGAGCTTATCAACATGAAGTATGCGGAAGATGTTAGTGTAACCGAGCACTTTAACAACCTTTAGGACGTTATCAATCAAGTGTCCACTATGGGTCTGAATATTGAAGAAGAGATGCTAGTAGTATTATTGCTAGGATCCTTGTCAGATAGTTGAATAACCTTCCTTGCAATTGTAAGCAATTCCTCTTCTAATAGTGTACTATCTAGGACGCTGTTAGGGATAGCATGTTCAATGAAGAAACAAGGAGAAAAGTTTCAGGTGCAGATGCTGTACAACTCTTTAGTCATAGAAAAAAGAGGCAAAAATTCTGGTGAGACGAGATTGAATCACGATTGCCACCATAAAAGTGTATTTCTTGTTCTTTTTCTTTGAAGTTTTTCGTGAAGTTCTTAGTTCTAGAGCCTTGGCAAGATCATTCGTTGTACTTATATATAGTGAAACATTGTTGTTGCTACCTTGTGGACACAGGCACATAGCCAAACCATGTTAATTTTTGGTGTCTTGGTTCATTGTTATTTTGTTTTCGATTTTCGAGTTGATTATGTTTTTTTTCTTTCATTAAACACGATATTCACAACAATAGCTCCTCTGAATGTTTCTCTAAGTTGGATGGGCAAAGCTCTGGAATGGGCCTGCAATGTTATGAACCCCAAAAACGAAAGGAAAATGCGCTGAAATTAGTTCCAGTCATGTAATTATTCCTGGTCTGCAGATGAATCAGGTGAAATGAAGTGGTTCTCTTTTTGAGTGCTTATCATCTGTTCCGCAAACCACCTTGAGAAACCTTCCTCAAGGGCCGCTTTCATCCATTGATGCCGGCAAAGTTCTATAGCTTCAGGGATGGAATGCCAACTTCGCCGACGATTGTTTTGTTCTGGCCAAAACTCGAGCTCTTCCTTCACAAGCAAAGGAAACATGGCAGCTTTGCACAATCCCTCGGGACTAAGTTCATCTTGCAGGGTCTTGCTCTTAAAAAAATAGTGCCCCAAACAATCCTGAAACGCACAAATAGGTAAGGTTGAAAGTTAACTGCTGTCATGAAAAAGTAGTTCTCTAACTATAAGGCATAAGGTTATCTCAGCAGGCAATAATTATACGAATTCCAGACGCAGTTTTGGGAGTGGAAACGGAAAGGGCAATCAATATCACATAATCTTTTTGCTATATCAATATACAGAAAGAAGAAAATTAGTTGGCATAGATCTTATCTCGCATAATGTGTTGCCGATTACTTACGAGAAATTGATGCATGAAGAACACCAGAATAATGCTTTCAAAGAACAGAAAAGCAGGAAGTGATACTCAAGACTGGACTTCACCACTCCACTTGGGGCAAGAAGGCAAGAAGAGGAAGGGAATTCAAATTTAGCTACAGGATCTGAATTTTACAACGGAGCCTCCAATGAAACTTGAGCCAATCAAGAAGCCCGTACTCCATTTACTAACTCAATCTTTTTCTTCCCAACCCTCTAGAAATAAGGAATTTATCTATAACTTCTTTATTTCAGTTTCAATTATATCCATTCCAACTCTTCGCCACTCTTTATATAACTTCTTTATATATAATGTCTCAACATTGCACAAATATCCTTATATTTATCTTTACATGGTCATTGCAATTCTCACAATGAACCTTAAATTTTTGTTAAAATATTTTCTCTTTTTTCTATATGGATTAGAATCCCTTATAAATGTAGGAATTTAAAAACTTGGACTCTGTACCTCTCTTGTTTTGGTTGCATTTTTGCTCACCACCCTCAAGTAGTGGTAATGCTCGCCACTCTATTTATTACCATTGAATGAGTTTAAATTTCAAGATTTGTGCATATTCACTACACAAATTTTGAAATTTAAACTCATCCAACGATGATAAATAAGGTAGTGAGCATCACCATCGCTTGAGGTTGATGACCAAAAATATTCCCTGTTGTTTCATATGTCAAATCATTCAATCCCGTTCTGCTGGACCCCATGGCCCAATGGAATTTTGGTCAACCACCATTCAACCTTAGTCCAATGGTAGGCCGTCATTTGTATTTCCTCCTCCACCGTTGGATTAAGTTCGAACAATGGATGACCACAATTTTATTGGACCCATGGGGTTTAGGAGAACGGGCCTCTCAATTCATCTTAAAAACCCAAACTGATCTTTGTAAATAATTTCACGCAGTTAATAACTTAAAAGATTCATAAGTCTCTCTCTGTGCAGCAATGGTATACTTCTGATAAGTCTGTTGTTTAACATTCATATAAGTGACAATAATGTTGAATGAGAAATGCTAAGGAGATTCTCTCAAAAGTAGGACTCTATCTATGGACTCTCGCCACCTCATGTTTTTTGCACAATTTCGGTGCCAACATAATAAAATATTGTGCCAAAACCGTGAGGTGGCAGAGAGTCCATGGAGAGTCAACACTTTGAGAGAGTCTCCTTAGCATTTATCATGTTGGATTTGTCATAAGAAACTAGAAAGACTAATTTATTAAAGTTTGAACTTGGCTCCTGCATCGAGCACATAATTCTATCCATGATCATTTCTTCATTGATTACCTGGTCGTATTGCAATGTATACCATAACTCCTCACATTTCCTTTCGGGTTAATGCTAGGAAGACCAACTATTTAGACCAAATTTTGTCAACCACAAATAGCGTGATTGTTGATGATTCGATTATTATTTAAGCATTGATTAAGAAAGTGAATGCACATCACAAACTAATAGCAAAAATATCCATGGTAATGGATGACTTTGGGCTGGTTTGAGTTGCTCAGTTTTTTCAAAAGCAGCTTTTAGAAAGAAAACAAAAATTGGGGCTAAAATTGTGTTCAGTAAATGAAAAAAAAAAGTGTATTTTTTCAAAATCATGGGTGTAAAACAGCAAAAAGCAGAAGCAACTCTACCCATACTTCTTAAAAAGCGCTTTTTATAGGAGGCGGGTGAACATTACCAATTAATGAAACTTTCCTAGTGACAATCCTAACCTCGCCTCTTTTTTTGCTAAAAGCACTTTTACCTCTATTGTTTACCAAACACTTCCTTTTTTGTTCACAGTTGTTTATTTTCACAGCACAACAGAAACAGTATTGAAAGAAAAAAAAAACACAGCAATCCCAAACTAGCCCTTCACTACAAATGCTAGCGTTATACACCATCCGACAAACAAATATCCACAAGGAGGAACTTTACCAAGCATATATGAAAAACAAGCAGTTAATTCTCACCATTATATCCCCTTGTACTCCAGCCTCTTCCACAGCTTCACGTATTGCTGCTTCCTGAACGGTTTCATCATTTTCCCATCCACCCTATGATTTAATAAAGAACAGTCACATACACAAGTATGACATTTATAAATGATTTCTGATTCAAGTATTACCACTGATGTATCAAAAGTGATATCCATGGAAAACCCAGATTTCAGGCTTCAAATACCTTACTAATGTCAGTGACCAAATTTAAAAGAACATAACAAGTGCACTGCAGCATTAGAAAATTGTTAAACATAAGAAAATTGATTTCGTGCAGAACAGCAAATAATAAAATCATGAGACCCAAGGCTTACGACTGGGAGAAGAACAGAAGGATGCATTTTGGCCATTGTATTTTTACAAGAAGTTGCATAATAAATGGTTATGTAGGTGAGAAAGGGAGATTCTTTTTAGATCATAGTTAGATGGAACTTTTCCAAGATTAAAGGGTAACAGCAGGTAGAAGATAAGTCCTTATGGGGCAAAGTAGCTTGAAAAGTAAGATTGCAGGCTTGCAGAGGATAGGCATCATTTGGAATCAGTATAATAGAAAGACTTTGCAAAAGTCAGATATTCCTTCAAAGAACTCGAAGTGTATGTCAGATAAAATTAAGGTGTACTTACAAGTTATTTCAAGAGCTAACAATAATTTTGAGATAAGCAGTTAAATTTACGTCAAAGTGGTAGTACTTCTCCGCTAGCTAGTTTCCACGAAATCTTCCTTTGAAAGAAATTCAATGCCCTTAGTGGCAATACAAAAGTGACCATTAAAACAATTTCAAACCCACTTCCAGAAATTTCTTAAAACACATAAATAACAAACGGACGCACACCCGTACAAATGAGAAAAAAATGACACCTCTTTAGTTATTAATATGTTTATGCAAATCGTACTTATAAAAGAATTAACATGAAAATTGTATTTACAAAAGAACGAACATGAGAAACATGAAAACGAATAAATTCTACCTTTGGAAACACAAGCCCAGGTCCACTAGTTGTGCTGATCATTAGTACCTCAACAACCTTCTCATATGTGCCATCACTATTTTCTCCAGTATTTCTATATTTGAAAGGAATACACCTGTACACAACTGAAATTAGATGCAGAAATAAAATAAATATATGCCCTCTCGATGAAACTTGTGATAATATGCTTGGCAGGGTCTGATGTAGAACATTTATGGAATACGCTGATGCACAAATAACTACTTGTTAGCAACAAATGTCAAGATTTTAATATAACAATTAATCCGATGATTTTTTGTTTTGCGTTAGATTTAAACTCCAATCAGCCAATAGAACGAAAAAGAACGATATAACTGACCCAATAAGTCAGTTGTTCTATGCTTATTTGAGTCAAGTTAACTTGAGTAGTGTTGAACAGATTATTTACAGACAGTGACAGCAAAAACCTGACAACAAGATGTAAGCTTTATAGAAGATAATTGTTTGTGGAAGATCAGTCACATGAGTAACATTGCTTGCATTGGTATATTTAAAACTAAGGCTGCTGAATACAAATCATTATTAAAAAATAAAAAAAAATAAAAACTTTTCATCCTGATCAAGTCCATATTATATTTTGCATTTTTCAAGCCAATTTTGCACTATTTGTGACTGCCAATTTGTTTCGTACTTAATCTCATTTTCGCAAATAATGCTGTAACTAGATCTCTGTTGTGGCATCCCCTGGAACAAGGACGAGGAATGAATATGGATATCTGCAGTAACTATTACGAAAACTACAGAATGGGTTCACCGAGACCCAGCAAGTGAGGATACCGCTACTAATTGTGGCATGATCAAGTGCTGTCGAAAGCTAATCATGAATTTGGGGGTTTCTCTTTTCCTTATATATCTTTAATCAAACAAAAACAAAAGGTCAAGTTGTTCTCTCAATGGAGCCGAATAAAAAGTTTATCAAAATGATCCAGTGTCGTTGAATTTTGTCAAAAATCTACATGACCCCAGTCCTAAATTCGGAAGAGTGCCCCTTTTCTTCACTTATAAGAACTTGACAACGAAAAAAGTAAACGAACAAGCAGATTTCAAATTTCAGGAAACCTAAAAACAACCAGCATAACTTCCAGGAGCAACAGCAAAGCTTCATTTAAGCCACAACCCAGCTTCACACTCACTCTCACCGTTGTGAAATTTGGTTTGATAGGTAACAAATTTGACCAAAAAGTAGGGAAAATCAGCAAATTTGACTTATTTCCAAGGCTAGAAAGCATATGCATCTAACAAATTATACAACTCGAATATCATGAAGCTGCCAATTGAAGCATTTAACATATACAAGTCAACAAAAACATAAATGAGAGCATCCATGTTCACAAAATTGACAAATATGTCAGGAGATATAAAGAGAAGAGATACATACCCGGCGACAAGGCGGTGGCCGGCCTCGTAGCGCTGCTGGTGGCGGCCGGTGCGAGCCACCAAGTCGGACATTAGCCTTGACAGCCTAAAAAACACAGATTCTTTGTGGGTTTTGGTGCCTTTTTGTGTGTATGTGGGCTACGAGTGTATGAGAAGTGTGAATTGAATCGTTGTTTGTTGTGGGTTGGGTTGGCTGAGATTCCTATGCAACCTACGACTGCCTTGCTTCTTGCGTTTCTGTATTTTTTTCCCTGTTTGTATGACTCTTACGAAACCCACGGATGCTGTGAGTGTGAGATGTCACGCGACACGGTAAACCGACACGACCGCGGCTACTGATTGTATTTATGTCGGTTGAGGGAGGACGGTTACGGACACAAGTACGGGAACGGAAATGGGTCGCCTGGAGTTGGAGTTGCTCCGTAACCTGTGTCTTTATCAACTCCTTGCTAGTCTTGCATCGTTAAGCATTCGCGACAGAGTGATATAAAGCATAGAATGAGATTGTGAGGTCTGTGTGTTCTTTGTATAATTAACAGGAATCAATTGCATTCATACGTACCATATCAAATGTGTTTTTAATTACTTCGTATAATAAAATTTTCATTTATATATATATATGAACGCATAAGGTCCCTACTAAGCTTTTTAAGCTCACTGTCGATCTTTCTAAGAATAATGATTGGATTACTAGGAACCTATCTGAATAACCCTTTTGAGGAACACTTTCGTTGGTAGAGACGAATGGAGACTTGGCAATCAGGTCTGAAATGCAATTAAAGCATGTATTACGACAACAATAAAAAAGTCTTATCCCACTAAGTGAAGGTGGCCTAAGTTTCCGTTGACCGTACTAGTGAGGGAGGGGCTCTAGTGGGAGATGTTTGGACATTCAGACGATGATTGCTTGGTTTCTAGGCTGCCCATCACCTGTCAACTTTTCTTGTGTTTAGTGTGTTCTGTTTACTGTAGAACACAATTACATTTAGTTAGCTCCTTAATTCAAGGAGCCGTCACTTTTAGGGTTTTAGATTAAGCCTGATTTAGGAAAGAGTCATCGTGTGTGATGATCTTCTATTGCTTTATTTATATCTATCCTATAATGGTTCCTCATGAATGAATATACAACATAAATTTGAAAATCAACATGGTATCATAGCAAGAAGAATAACCTGTCTCTGCATTACTAGTGTTTATTCATATTTAGTTCCTCAACAATCGCTGAAGGTAATCCATTTGGGTCTGGGGCTAAATGCTCTCATGTCTCTTCTCCAATAAATCTGAGGTGGGGTTGTTAACTACTTGCCATGGTCAAGGCTTGTTTCACTTGCCCTAGGTGGAAGATTAAAGCTGAGCTTCATCAATGGAAACGTTGAAGTCCTTGAGATTACATCTCCAACTTATGAAGCATGGCTCAGCAAAGATCAACTGGTCATGTCTTGCCTCCTTAATTCCATGGAGAGAAAGCTAGCAAAGATCTTTAGTTATTCAGAATCATCATCTCAATTGTAGGTTGCAGTCAAAGAGATGTATGGCAACCAAAACGATGTTGCTTGTGTTTTTCAACTACAGAGAGACATTGCAAACTTGGAACAGGATGGGAAACGTCTAGCTACTTGGAAGCATGAAAGGTATGTGGAATGAACTCGAAGTGTATCGACCCCATAACACTGAGGCTTCCATGCTGCTAAAAAGGGTTAAGGAAGACAAGATCTTTCAACTTTTGTCTAGCTTGGGTTCTGAATATGAGGATCTTCTCATTCACATTTTCATGAACCCATAGCTCCCCTATTTTACAAGTGTGTGCAATCAACAATGAGAAGAAGTGAGAAGACAAAGTCATGAATATAGGCATTAAGGTAAATGTCAAAAGCAAGAGCCTATTTATCCAATAACGAAAAGTACAAGGGTAAGAACCTTAATTTAAAATGTCAAGATTGTAATGTATTAGATCGTACATCCAGAGTTGAAACCAAAGTTCATGAAGTATAATAAGGGTGTCTAAAAGAAGCCACAACACCCAGGATACAAGAATATGGTGTTGCATCTTCCCACCAGAGGTTTCAGATTCACTACTGCAATTTACTTCAAATCCAACTGCACTCATCAATGAATTTATTGAGTACATTCAAAGGAAAAATAGTGGCGATAAAGCTTCCAACTCAAGTGAAGGAAATTTCAACAGCACTGTAAGGAAAGTTTGATGGGTTCTTGGCTGGCAATATGAGGGTCTTCTTGTGGAAGACAAGTAAAGTATCATCAATGCTCTCCAAACTGCTCTAAATTTGAATAAATTGAATGATTTATGTGTCATGGAATCTGGCGCCACAGACCACACGACAAATCAATGTTCTAAACTTCATAATTTTGAAAATTCTCCAAACATTCCCATTTGTCTATTGCAAATGGCAAGGGTGCCAAGGTGTTAGGGAAAGGAAAGATTAATCTAGTCTCGAATAAGATTGAGTCAAGTGCCTTATATGTTCCCTCATTTTTCCTATTCAACTTCTCTCTGTGGGAAAACTCACAAATGCCCTAAATTGTTTAGCCATTTTCTCTCCTCACAATGTTATTTTTCAAGATTATGTCACCAAGAAGAAGATTAGTGGAGATTTTCATTTAGATTAAGTCTATTACCTAGCAAAAGATTTTCAACTTCCCAAAGGATTCCAAGTCAAGTCTAGCACAAGATACCCACTTATGGCATCAAAGACTAGCACACCCATTATAACCAATCTTGTCACCCTTGTTTCCAAATGTTTGTAAGGAGTTTATTCATTTTGACACTTGTCACATGCCTAAGTTTACTAAACTTCCTTGTTGTTCATCCTTCTCTAGAACTAGTAAAATGTTTGAACTTGTACACTCGGATACATGGAGACCATTTTTTGAATCATTTGATGACATAAGTACTTTTGTAACTTTTGTTGATGATTTTTCAAGGGTTACTTGGTTTTACCTCATGAAGTTTAAGAGTGAAGTCATTCAAGTGTTTAAAGAGTTTCACAGCCTTATTAACAACCACTTTTGACTCCAAAATAAAAACATTAAGGTTAATGACACTGAAATATATATCCCATAACATGATGCAATACTTGAGCACTCATTGAATCATGCATCAAACAAATTGTATGGGCACACCAACAAAATGGCATAACCAAGAGGTAACATCGTGATTTACTTGAAAAAACTAGAGCTTTGATAATACAAATGAATGTTCCCAAAGATTTTGGTCTCAAGGTGTCTTGACTGCAACCTACCTTAAGTTTTAAGTCACAAATGTAGGTGTTTAAAGGAAGAAAATTTGAGTTGGATCACCTCATGGTATTTGGGTGCCATGTTTTTTCTATGTTTAGCTTCATCACAAGGATAAATTGGACCTTAGGGGCTAGCAAGTGCATTTTCCTTGGTTATTCATCATTTCAAAAAACTTACAAGGGTTATAACCTTGAATTAAACTTACAAGGATTATAACCTTGAATTGCTAAGGTTGGTTGTGTCAAATGATGTAAAGTTTCTTGAGTCTAACCTTTATTACAACAAGAAAATTGATGCTTCAAATCAGGGGGAGTTTCTCCTTAAATTATTTTTTTTGCTCATGACTGTAGAACAATTACTTGAAGCATAAGTAACACAAGTTGTTCTCCATGCTGAAAGTGATCATCTACTGAAAGTAATGATACGGTTTCCAGGAGTGATGAATTGCCTCAAACTTAAAATGATGAACATGTTGACATAGAAAATGATATCTTACCACAATAATCAGGCGAAATCCCACTTATGTTAGACAACCTCCCTCAATGCTTCAAGATTATGTCACTTACACTGCAAAACATCTAATCTCTAAATGCTTGTCATAACAAAATGTCGCACAATCTCATGTTACCTACCTAAGTACCATTCATAGTCAAAATGAGCCTCAAAGCTTCCAAAAACCTAATTACCATGATATGTGGAAAGAAACCATGAAGAAAGAGCTTCAGGCTCTTGCCAACACCAAACTTGAAGCATTGTCAAACTTACAAAAGGAAAGAAGTTAAGAGCAAATGAATCTTGTTGATACACAAAACCGGAGGTCTTGGAACAACGTAAATCCGACCGTGAATCTGCATGAATTGTAAATGACACAAGATGTGTCGTGGTTCACCCCAAGGTTCGGGCTACGTCCACACTGATTGTATTGTATTTCTCTGAGAAGTGAGGAAGAGAGCCTCTGTAATATGAGAGGGGATGTGAGAAGGGTGAGAAGGCTTAGGAATGGCCTCTCCTAATTGTGAAGGTGAGGGGTTCTTTTATAGAATAAGGACTCCTCACTTATTATATATTTGCCCCTTCCTTTATCACATAATTACATTTAAGTCCCCGAGTATTTGTACGAGATCTAAATACGAAGACCTAAATATGGTATAAACAATAGTCCCCCAAGTCTTCAGTCAAGAGAGTCTTTTGGCTAGAGACTTAAAATTCAGTCCATGTGTGGGCCGAAGTAACTAGATGCTGTCTTGAACTGATGCTCGATATAAGGCAGTGCTCAATTTGAAATGACGTTTAACTAGAAGTAGCACACGCTGCTCGGCTGCTCGGCTCGTGGCTTATGTTGTCTTGGTTGGCCCGGCTTGCGGCGTTTGAAGGTGAGGGAGTCCCTTTTATAGAATAAGGGCTCGCTCCTCAATACATGAATGATGGGCTAGAGTTGATGCTCTCTAATGATGGTGAGGGAGTCCCTTTTATAGAATAAGGGCTCATTCCTCAATACATAAATGATAGGCTAGAGTTGATGCTCGCGGCGAGGTGGTTGCTCAGTAGGCGGCGACGCTCTCTAATGGTGGTGAGGGAGTCCCTTTTATAGAATAAGGGCTTGTTCCTCAATACATAAGTGATGGGCTAGGAATGATGCTCGCGGTGAGGCGGTTGCTCAACTGGCGGCGTTGCTCTCTAATGAAGGTGAGGGAATCCCTTTTATAAAATAAGGGCTCGCTCCTCAATACATAAATAATGGGCTAAGTCCCCTAAGTATTTTTCATGAGGCCCAGTTGAGGCCCAATATATGGTACATAATGTAGTCCCCCAAGTCTTCGGTCAATAGAATCTATTGGTTAGAGATTTCAAATTGAATCCATGTATGGGCTGAAGTGGCAGTTGTTCGGAGGCGGTATTTGTATACCCTGCACTGAAGCTTTGTAGGTGAAGCTTTGCAAGTGAAGCTTTGAAGTTAGAGCTCTGTAAATGACTCTTTTGAAGCTAGAGCTCTGTAAATGAAGCTTTTGAAGCTGATTGACATGAGTGATGCTCATGAATGTTTATGTTGATTGACATGAGTGATGCTCATGGATGTTGTCATGAGTGATGCTCATGAATGTTGACATGAATGATGGTCATGAATGTTTATGTATGATTGTCATGAGTGATGGTCATGAATGTTTATGTATGAATGACATGAGTAATGCTCATGTATAATTTGGAGTACTGGGTGTACTTTTGATCACCTGGTTGGTGGCATGAATGAGAGTACAGGTTGTACATTTCATCACTTGGTTGGTGGCATGAATGGCT